CCTTGCGCAGCGTTAACGCTCAGATACTAACAGCCACACGGTAAATTAAGTGTCACTACCCAGTGTGTGTTTAGAGAAAATGACATGAACTGTGATGGCTTCAGTATTTTACTGTGTGAACATGCAGTGGGACACTTTTTCCCTGTTTTAGTTTGTTTCTAGGGTCAAAGGGAAGAGATGGGTTGCATGAGAAACGTTTAGCTTCCAAGTGTACTTTAATAAGCAGGTTTTTTCATTGGTTACTAAAGAATCAAAACAAAAGCTAATGTAGATATTTGCAGCCTTAAGTGTGTGTGTGTGTGTTTGTGTGTGTGCTAGCATATGTAACGTGTGTGCTAGCATATGTCACGTGTGTGTGTGCGCGACCATATATCAACAGGGGTTGCAAAGAAATCTCTGGGTTCAAAGGGCGCGTCACCCAGTCAGCATTGTGAAGACAGTTTACCCCTGAGTGGATTTACTGTGGCTAATCTATCTAAAAGAACATTATCTGGTGCACACACAGACGCACACACGCACACACACAGAACAACACACACACTCACACGTGGGGTTGCTCCAGGATGGGTGTATTCATAGCCAGGGAATCCTGCAGTTCACACAACGAGGCGTGTCTCGTAAACAAGCATTTTTTTTTATTTTTATGTTATTTACTCACTAGATGTAAATTCATAGCCAAGCCTTTCTGAGTTGTGGAGCTGTGGACTAGCTAAGCCATGTATCATCTTCATTCTCTTCTGTTGTCATTCTAGTTTTTTTTCTCACCCTATGGGTAGGCTTTGTAATTCTCTTCTCTTAGAAGCACAACTGTTACCAAAGTCATAGCGACTGTGATTTCCAAGGACGTTGTAGTTTGAACAGTAGGGTCACACTTCACTGACATGTGTGTTTTTCTGTTTAGGGAGCTCATGATATCAGAGACTCCATTGTTGTTGTTTTTTTTATATTTTCAGAGCTTCCCCCTATTTTCAGAGAGAGTTACTGTTTGCTGCGTATCGGCACATTTACTGACGGCAAACGAAGCATCTCTGTGTCTATTGGTTGGGAAAAGTGGGTTGATGAACAGCTAAAAATGATGAATTGCGCGTGGTGTATAGACCCGTCTTCCCTTTAGGTCACTGTACTCTCTTCAGTTCTTCACTGCCAATGTTACTGTGGATGAGGTGTTTTATTTTCTTTGTGTGGGTTGGCGCCCTCTCCTGGTCTGCTGTGATTTGATAGCTACACCAGGACCCTTGGTATTTCCACTAGAGGCAGACCTTCATTTCTCTCAGGCAAAAGGAGGGGCAGCTCCAACCGTGTGTATGATTTTTGATGCTGAGGGCTGTGGTGATTTTTATGCTTGGGGTCCTGAATGAATGGATGTGACACTTAACTTGCAGACCAGCAGACGTTTTTAAATCTTAACAAAATATATGCAAAAAAATTGGAGCTGGAAAAAGTAAGAAAAAAAAGATAAGGATGACCGAACTATGATGAGTTAAGCAAAATCTGATTTGCTAATAAAAGTCTGTTTATTGAAATGCGACTGTGATGGACTCCAGCCAGGACACTTCACTCTGTCACTGGCCTTTTCACTGCGGCCTGACCTTTTAACTTTTACTCCGGCTGATTGTGTCGAAGATTGTTTTAACGATGCATCGGTGGGAAAATAACAAAACAAACCTGTTTCCGTCTAGATCAGATTCAGCACTCCCAAACTATCATGACACTGACTTTATGTTTTTCTTTCTCGATCCCTGGCAGCAGTTTCACAGTTACGACTTCACGGTGCAGTGAAAATGTGGCCTGTGTGTAGCGAGCTCCTCTGTGTGTTACTATGTATTCACTATGCTTTTATCAAGAGGACTAACTGACCCTATGAACTGTCTTTGTATGCATAAACAGCCTCCTTTCTTTTCCACGTCTGTCTATTTACTCTTCTCATAGTACTGGGAGCAGGCTGCTTTTTTTTTTTATTGGATACGTGCTCAACCCGTTGGCATTATAACTGTATAATATAATTTATCATTTGTACTATTGTAACATACTGTTCTCCTGTATACCTTATTATTCTGTGTAATGGGTTTTGTAGGAAAAGTCACCGTGATATTTTAACGGCATCTAAACAAATGAACGCAGCAGACCGCACCCTGTTGGATGATGACAACTGTAGCTGCATTGGTTCAAAATAAAATGTGTATCACTTCAGCTCTGTAACACCAGTGTCCATGTCTGATTCTTTATTTAAAACAAATGTGCAAACATGATTTGGAAGCTGAAATCTTCAGGTTGAGAATGACTGAAAACAACTTAAGTTTTTATTTAAAAAAGTAAAAAACAGTAAAACATGCAAATATTTGGAAACAGCCTAAATTTGAAAATTATCAAATAAAATTGTATCCACTATCATTTTACTAGAAAACATTAGTGTGACTGTGATTGTGATTGTGTTTCTTTCACCTCTTGTATTCTTGTCACTGAGGTGACTGTGGCATTGCACTTTACAAACGGAGACAGTGGGGGTTGTGTTGTTGTGTTCGTGGAGGACCAAGCATCCTTGAGGGCCCAAAATGAACAAAGTTCTCAAAGTCTTGTGTTGTTACACTCTGTAGGTTTGTTCTTCTGTCGACCAGGCAGATGCATCTGGCCGTTTGTTCTCAAGACTCGATGGCCCCGTGTCATAACCCAGTTTCTTCATGTCTTTAGTCATGATGTGAAAGGAGACGGTGACGAAGCCTTGGGATCGAACCCGTGTCACTACAACACAGAAATGCATGTTGTGATTAAAGGAACTTCATGTATGAAATAATATAAAAAGAAAAGCCATCAGTCTTTTTCAGTTGAGGTAATTTTGTTACACTGGTCCAGATAAGCTTAAAGTAAACCCTCTACTTACATGTGTTTCTGTATCGACAGGCTGAGAACTGTTACTGTCCACAAATATAAATAATTCAACAAACCTTCTCTGCCTTCGCCCTGAGCCACAACTTTTGGGTCTGTGTACTCCGGCCGCCTTCCCAACAGCCAGCTAAACGAGACAGGAAACAAAAAACCATTTCAATCTCCATTAAATCACTTTCAGATTACACACAGATTAAAATAGTGGATTAATCCCTGATATTTCCTATCTGTTTTTTCAACAACAAATTTTCATGAATATAAATATTGTCCTAAAGATTCCAATCATAAGATAAAATGCTCTTGCTCTTCTGAATCACTTCCCTCTCTGGTGTGAGTGTTAATGTTCTTGTGTTTACGACTCACAGAGAGTGCAGTAGTTAAAGAGCATACACACACATTCCCAGATCAAGTGGAAAAACACACTTTGCTACCAATGTTGCAGCTTAAATTGCAAATGCAGATGTGCACCTCTGGAACAGCAAGTATCTTTGAGTGTGTGTGTGTTTCTATGCGTTGACAACAGCAGCTGGGAGGCATTACAGCGATGTGGGGTATTCTCTCACAACAGGCCTGAGACTTTGTCCTCGTTGGGACTGACACACACTAAATATTTGATAATGCTCTTCAGCTTCAGCTCAGTCGACACAGCTGCTGAGATGGAGAGAGAAAGCTGAACAGCCATCCACACGTCTCACCTTGTGAATTTCTGAAGTCTCCATGTGGGCTCAGGAACAAACATAGGGACGGTCCTTGTATGTCTGGGAAGGAATAACAAAAATAAGCAATGTGCACGGTCACTATTAAAAACAAGGCTTTGGTTAATCATTATTATAAAAGAAGAAGAAGAAATTTGTGGAGGTGAGACTGACTGTCCGGAGGTGAAAGGGATGTGTGTTGCTCCGTAGCCCCGGACGACGTCGTTGCCAAACACATCTGGACCATACACACTCACCACCAGCTGAGGCCCTGTAAAATCAAAAGGAACTCCCAAATGAATACTCAGTTGTACCCAAATCCTTAGTAATGACAACAGCTACCAACTCGTTATGTGCAGTTTGTACGTGAGTGCTGCTTACATCCTGATGGGTTCGTGCTCTTAAAAGTCGTTTCCAGTGGAAAGTTCCATATTAATCTATGTGAGGCCTGACTGCCTTTACAGGTTATCTGAGTGATGCCTTCCTCCAGCCCCTGTAGACAGAAACAGACACACAAACACTTGGATGATAGATAACCTTCTTTTTCTATAAGTTCTTTTTTAATTGAGGCTGCATGCACGTGAAATGCTGTACATGATCTGGACATTATTAAAAAAAGTATTTATTTAACCCTCTGGGAATATCAAATGGTTTATTTTACATCAGATTTAATGAGGATTCTCTTAATGGAACAATTACACTTAATAATCATATTTTACTGCAGCGGTTACTGCTACTTTAAAACATTCTCAGCAACGTTGTAATAAAATTAGCCCCTGAACAGAGTTAAAGGGAGATCCACATTAAAGCCAAGTTAATTGTTCTGTAATCATTTTGTAATGGTGACAAAGTTAAAACCTGACGAGCTCACATCGAGGTTTAAAGCACTCGACCAAAAGTTTAGTAAACTTAACATTAATAATATTAATAATTAACTGTCAATTATAACTACATACTGCAGTGTGCTGGGGGGAAATCTGATTTAATGCCAAATAGGTTTTCAACACAAGGAATTAGCTTTGGTGTCAGGTGCATAAACACTAAGTAGAAGAAAAAGAAAACTGGACAACAGGATTAAACATATCGAAGATTAGAGTAATAATGTAAAAAAGGTATGTATAGTATTTTACGACTTCTGCAACCATCACCCATTTTCATAATGGAATCATCTGAAGACTGTATTTAGTGAATGAACGTCAACACATTGCATTTACAAAGTCATTCCACAGATTCAAGGAAGCAACAGCTACACGACTCACAATGTAATAAGTCTTGGTTTTGAAGGTTAGTGCATCAATGATCTCCCTGTTGTACAACAAACACACAGAAGTATTTCCCTCAGCTACTCACTGAGATCGGGGCCCAGTCGTGTCCGTAGACGAAACAGTATTTGCAGTAGAGGTTGTCGAACTCTGGAAACTGAGACACGACAACAAACGCCGAGATGAATGCGCACAAAGAGACACACGACTCAGATTAAAACAAACATGCCTTGCTAATGCTAACTATGGATAGCTGCTAGGCTAGGCTAGGCTAGGCTAATCAACAGCACAGCACTCACATTCGCCCCCTCGATTTGACCGTTCACCGTCAGCAGAAACACGGACGGGTCGCTCGCGGCCATGACAGCTGAGTTTGATCAATAAATCGATAAATGACGCGCGGATGATTCCGATCGGTTTGACACAATCGCGATGCTAGCCCGTTAGCCTCGTCCGTTGCTAGGGCGACGCTTGCCTCCCCTCTACGGGTGCCCGCTTGGTCCAAAACCGAACCAGAGCGCGCGCGAGCTGCTGGAATTAAAAAACTGTTTTAAGAAAATAAAGCAAAAATTAAAAAAATCACTTTAAAACACTGAAATTTATCAAAGAAGTTGATTTGAACGAGTTAAACAGCATTTGTAATGATTGTGAATGTGTTTGGTGTAAAGTAGAAACAGAAGCAGCTGAACATCTGATGCTCTCTTGGCTAGTTTGGACTTTCAAATTAAGTGTTGAGTAGTAATTTGGCTAAAACACCGTTGACTTACTTTATTAAATTTAAATTAAATTAAATTTAGTCTTTTAATGGAGGAGAGAAACATATAATTCAATAATTCTAATATTATAGCCACATATTTTTTTTGCACATATCTAAAAAGAAAACACCACAAATGTCTTTTTAAAAAAACTCGTTGAAATTGATAAATAATCATAAAAACAACCCCACTGGTGTATGAACATATGTTAAATTAATCTTTCAGGCCCCAAACAGGAGCCTCATTTATTTCCACATCCTTCCTTGTGTTATCCTTTGCTTTGTTTCCTTCATTGTTTTAAAAAGTCTCATTCCTGAACTCTGTTTGGTTTTTTTATTGAAAAAGACTCAGACTGTAAGATTTGCATCTTACAATTAAAAAACTGGCCACAAGATGGCGGCACAGTTCCAGACAGGCCTGACGCCAGAGACGCGCTCAGCTCACCTGAGGCCGGAAACGAACTTCCACATGTTTACACTGCTGCATCATGGGTGTTTCCAATCAGACACAACGTGGACTGAAGACCCTGAGACGTGCTGCAGGCCTCAGAGACGCAGTGAGTCTTTACCTCAGGTGTTTGACGTGAGCAGGTTTAGTTTTTTACCAATTAGTCTCAATGCTACTCACGTGTCAGCAGCACATTCGACTTCACTGCAGCTCTGAGTTGATCCCGGCTAAAGGATAAACTTTATTCAGCAAGTCACATCTGCAACTGCGGAAAACAGATTACAACAGAGAATCCATATTACTTTAATTGATTCCCACTAGAGTCAATGGAGCCAGTTGTTAAAGCTGAATTAAAATTTCCCCTGTAAACACAAACTTGATATTAATTTTCCACCGGGTAGCTTTGTCCAGTGCTGTTTTACAGAGCAGGATTTATATCTTTGTTTTCTTGCATTTGAGCAGAAATTAAATTGTGTATTCAACATTTATCCACCAGAATTATGTGTAATCTATTGCAGCACACACAGCTACAGAAACGTTTTTTATATAAATTGTGGGAAAACATATAATTTCAATTCCATTACAATAGACCTTTCACTCATAATAGCATATATACTTCTATGGTAATTATTGGGCTATATATCCATTAGTTCAGATAATGAGCTGTTTTAGATTTACTGTGGATAATCAACTGTTTCTATCAGCTGTTAAACACACACACACACACACACACACCAATAATTGACCCCTCTGTTCATCTCTCTATTTGCCCTCAATCTGTCAATCGCCTTTCTTTCTGTGTGTTGCTGTCAGATAGCACCAGCACCCCCCAAAGTCCCTGACCTTTTGAATACAGCCCAAACAGCCGCTCTCTTCTCCATCCTCTCTCTTTACTCTGCTCATCAGTTCCCCTTCCAGCGTAACCCCACCCACCTCGTATTGAAGTCAGGGACGCCATCATTTGGCATTCAGTATCGCACAGTCGGCCAACAGACGTCAGCCTCCGAGACGTTCAAAGAAATGCCAGTACGAGGACATTGTAGCCTTGTGATAGATGCAGGCAGCCCTCTGCTTCCTGTTTCCTCTTTATACCTGAACTTCCTCTTGCAGGCGAGTTTGAGGAAACCTGGCTCGTTCTAACTGAAGTGCCGTAGCATGTAAACAACATATCCAATGAGACGTCACGACACGATCACACATATTATCATCACGTGTATATAGAAATCTGAATAACCAGGTTTTTCATGCTCAAAAAGAGGGCAAGGGTCCAAAACAGGATGCTAAACACACTCACTGATTCCTTACTTCCTCCTCCGCCTCCTAACAAGCTTCTCACTTCCTAAATACTCCTTCCTCTTGGCCCCCCACCAACACCTCTTCCCAGCAGCATCCCTTCTTCTCTTCATCCCACCACTTCACTGGCCCTCCTTCCTCTCCACCTGCCAAATATGTGTCTCTGCGTTCCTCCACCTCCTGCAACACCCCCCCCCCCGTCCTTTTTTAAAATCCTCCATCATCTCCTTATTGCTGGTTTTCCCTCTCATCTCCTCCCTCTTTCTCCCCTCTCTCAATGTCCTGCCTATTTTCTCCTCTTCTTCCCGCCCCCCTCCCTCCCCATGTCCGCCTCCTTGTCTCTTTCTCCTCGATGGAACATGTTTCATTCGTCCCTCTTCTCCTGTGGTGAGTCTGTCCCTCCGTCTCCTCCTCCTCTCTCCCTCTCATCTCCCTGACCCTCTTTTCTTCCTGCTCCATCTCTCACAGCCTCTTTTCTTCCTTCCAAATGCTTGGTTTGGAGTGGAACCATTAAAAGTTGCTGTGGAGTGATCAGTCAGAAGGATCATCTGGTGTTTTTATATCTCAGAACTTGAAATGGAACTGTCACAGTGTTTTTCTTCAAATTCCACAATCTGTGCATATGTATTTCAAAATAAAAGCCCACATATTAGGCCTCTATATGCACTTTAAATGTGTTTTCACTGAAAAATGACTAGAAAATGGGAATTACACATTTCACACTGCACAGTGCGTTTCACAGGTTTGATTGAAAGTAACATTACATGCTTTGTTAATGTATTCCTTATGGACTCTTCTGTTTATGTCATAGAGCACACAATGGTCTCATGCCTGGAGTCTGCAGCAGCTTGGAGAAAATGTCTCCCTGAAGTGCCCTTCCCAGGGATCTGCTCGGTGAGTGTGATTCACCCAGAACACGAGTGGAAAATAGAAAGAAGAAAACAAACCAGAGGAGAGTTTTCCTTATTGCTGCTGAAGCACAGACGTATATTCTCACCACACCATCGCTGCTCAGTAACAAAACTGTCACAAAATATTATCTCTGACGAGCTTAATCCACTGAGTCCTGTTTATTTAATTTTCAAATGGCTGCATACACGGAACAGACGCAGGGAAGAAAAGAGCTGCTGATGGAGGTTAATGTCTGGAACTGTGTGGAACTAATGGTCCGTGACCAGGGGTTCACACACTCTGCTCCGAGGAGACCTGCTGTCCAAGAAAATACTTTGCTGGTCACCAATTTACTGATGTTTTATGGGGCAGAAATTAATTAATTAAAAAAAAAAAACAGACTGATTAATTGCTCGTAAATGTAAAGACCAAGTTAGTAGCATTGCTGGAACCAACGAGGGAGGTGATGCTGTGGGTTTGGTTTTGTGATGGAGTATTTGTGGAACATTCAAAGCTGCGGAAGAAAGAATCGCTTGAAAATTAAGTACTAACAATTTAGCAGAGGCAGATGCACGTGTGTCACTATTGACCCACACAGAAGATTGTGTTGCACTACTCCTTTATTACGTCTTCCTATTAAGTCCATGCCAGATATTCTCAGAGGCTTAATGAAGAGATCTAGATTTACCCTGTCTAACAATTCACTTTCACTTTAATGAGCTCTCCTCCTCAGTCGAGCCGCTCTGTCGCTCCCTCTGTTCCTGGCTAAACTCTCGGCCCAAGTTTCTCGTCTTAGTCGTCTTCACACGTGCCAAACTCAGACCAGCTTTCTGCTCCGGCTGAATTTTACAGTTCGGTGTGTACAAATGTGTTTGTTTGTGTGTGGTGCATCTTTGGCCCACTTTGAGTCTTTTATTCCCTCTGGGAGAGGCACCATATCTCCACATCATATTTTTAAACTTCTCCCCTCTACTTCGCCCTCCACGTCTCTCTGCCTCCCCCCAAATGTCTCTCCGCCTCAGACTCACAGTCCTCTCTGCCCCCACGGGCTCATCTGTCCAGAATCAGGCTGACCTGTTTAGGCCAAGGGCTCATTTCAGCCGTCGTCAACATTAGAGCAGGTTTTCCACTAAACACACTTCAGCATTCACAGTCAAGTCAACAACATTTGCTGAATGGTTTGATATTTTGGGAAATAAGATAAGAGTTGTACATCTTTCATTTAATCTATAAAAACCTTTCTCACTTCATGTGTAACTTCAGCATTTGTGTTGCTGCTGCCTGCATGTTGTTTTGCCAGAGAGGGGGAAAGTACAAGGAGGATTCAGATGATATGTAATAATTAATATATTTTTCAAATGTTACAGTTTCTTAGCAAGTTGTTTTTATTAAATATGAAGAATGTGCTTGTGACATAGTGACTCCTCCACTTGATTTTAAATGGGAAACCTTTAATCTACCATCAGCATTTCTTTATGTTCAGATAAAACCTCTGTGGCCACAAACAAACTCACTCTGCATTTAGGAAACTGTAAAATCAGCTGTTAAGGGCTCAGGGGCTACACGACTGGAGAGAGAGGCACTTAAATTTCCAGGCCGCATCATCCTCGTCTTTCCTTCGCTGAGAGCCTGTTCTGCCCGCAGGCTACACCCAGCTCTCTAACCTCTGCCGTCCTTTACCGAGGAGGAGATGGAGGAGGGGGGGCAGCAAGGTGTTACAAGGGGAAAGTTACAGGGACCAAGAAATGACAAAGCTAAGGGACTGTAGAGGAGTGGGCAGAGAGGGAGAGGAGGGAATCAAGCAGCTGATGAAGGTGGACGGGGGGGGGGAGCAGAGGTTGATTTGAAGAACTCGGATGGAAGCTTATTTAGATATTCATCACTGGAGTCTTTAAGGTCAGCCTGGTCTCCCCATGGTTCTGTAAGTCATGACGCTGTCGGCTCTGGTTGTTTTTAAAAAGCTCTTTCAATCCTGCAGCTTGTCCGAGAGAAGCAGTTCCTGTGCATCACATTTCTGTAATTTATACAATTGAATTCCCCTGGCTTTAATTTGTATAACGCTGCTGCTTGTTCATTCCACCGTTATTTCTACTTCACTCAGGTTTTCAGTTCTATTTGCCGTACTATTGTTTTTCCTCTAACGTGAACTATGTAGAATTGAATTAACCCTAGATCTGTTGTGCTCCGTGAACACACCTACAAATTATCGTTATGATTTGATTCTGATACAGTGCCGTACAGTACAGTGAAATATGGTAGAACAATTAATTATTCATATTAATGACCAAATTTAATATTTACGAGAGCCTGACTAGTATTGACTTTCAGGCAATGATGCTGATAATAGGGAGTATAACTTATTGATTCACTTGATTCACTTATTTAGTATATAGCTTAAAGTTTAACCATGAACTTTATTACGACCAAATATACACAAGTTGAATTGAGAATATAAAATGTAAAAATAACAACACATCTCTTCTCTATTGTTTATTCTGTAAAGTTCTATATATTTACTATATATTCTGGTTTGATGATGACATCTGAGGAATAAACAATAAAGAATGGATTTATTTATATTAACATTTTACATGATAACATCACAATTACTTAATTTAACTTCAAGGTTAAAGTGAAATCTCCTCTGATATTTTGATTCCATAAAATGAAAGTTGTCATATTGGTGAATATTTGTGTACTTGTTATATTCACCACTGCTTATATGAATATAATCAGCATTAGCAGGCACTTTGAAATCTGTAGAGGTTACATTGTTAAATCGACACTACTATTGTTGAGCAAGTCCTGAGTCCTTGAATACAGGTGAGCAGTATTTCCTGCTGTACATCGAGATGAAACATTGAATTTGTGCTAAGCTATATTAAAGTTATGTCTGTCATTGAGAGGCCTGTGCATGATGACATAAAACGGCCCCTCTGTCCCCGTAACCCCGAACATTTAGTAGGTTTGAATAAATGGGTGTTTGAAGAACGGCCCAAAAGATCATCTGTCACCATTTTCCTTCATGTGGTCAGAAGGAGGAAGCCAAAGAACGTCCTGAGCTGGGTCTTCGCGGCTGTTAGCTCATGATCTACGGCAGTTTGGGTGCCATCTTAAGTATAAGTCATTCGATTAGATTATTGCTCTGGACGGTTCAAACTGCCAAGGACATTTCACAGCAGCAGCTGCAGCACAGTGTGAACACTGCCGACGGTCCTGAGACAATAATCCTTCCCAGATACACGGCTGAACTAATACAAGAGGTTTCATATGACTTCTGGTGCTTCCCCAGTCATCTGTTCTAAACATCACTGAGATGTAATGGGGAATGATGGAACCTGGGGGGGCCTTTGTTACGTAATAAACCGTTCCACTGTGCCTCAGCTCGATCAAAGGTTTCACCTTCGTTTAAGCAGACGAGCTGTTTAAGCAGCCAGTCTTAGTTACACTGCCATCCTGGGTAAGATTCTCATGCTGGTTCATTTTCATGAGAATAACTTTCCACTCTGTGTTTATTTACACCATGTCGAGGTCTGGTTGCACTGATGATGATGTCCGGTGATGGTTTACAGGCATAGGAATCAATTAAAGTCATAATTACAAGTGGGAAATTTCTTTTTTCCAGACTTGCACATGTTATAAAACAGAACCTGAGGGGAAAACCATTATATGAGGGATATAAGCTGTGTCCAAGTCAGGGGCCACTTCGCAGGACGCGGTTGGCCGCCTTCGTGGCCCATGTAGACTGATGGCCGAACTGAAATGAGACGCTCTGGTTGACGGAGGATTCCCTTGTTTGTGACACCAGCTTGTCACATTCTAACTTACTGCAGCTCAGCCAACCAGATAGCATCCTCATCACCGGAGTGTAATGAGTCCTGAGATATGTTGGCCTGACAAGGATCCACCCTTTGGATCCTGGGTAATGGAAGGACACTTTTGTCAGACGCATTGGAATGAGCCTCTGAAATGGGACAGCTTAGTCACTCTGCCGTGACACAGCCGGTCTTCAAATTCAGCCTCTGAAGGCTGAGACACGGCTATTGATTCTATCCGGAGGGAATCACTTATCTGTGTCAGCCTCTTGAGCTGTTCGTGGTCAGTGCAACATGTTGGAGATGTATTTTAGAATTTTTTTTTTCTTGAGCTACACAGTAGTTTAACCTGGACTCATTAAAATGTGGCCTGTTGGGAGCTGACGAGATCTGATGAGACGGATCATTCATTAATGCACCACCCTCATTACTACAGAGGGCCGGTTCCTCAGCTGGAGTTTATTACTTTCCTTAGCTCCATTATTTTTCCTGACACCACCCGACTTTAATGTGAATGAACTTGAGAAAACTAGGGTTGAGTCACCAAGCTGATTCTTTGTGCGACTGCATAATGTGATTGTGGTCGTTGGGTTTAGTGAAGACAGATAATAAAAAAATATCCTCAGTACATCAAACTTTATGTGTAGGGTGTGTAAACACTGAACCATCAAGGGGAAACTTTCAGTTTGTATCACGTATTCTGCTCTTTGATGGTGTGTTTGAGGTCACACATACTCTGTGTATTCTCCAACTACCAGTTGCTGTTTTGTGAATTGCTGTAGACACACACAGGGAAGTTAAGAGTCTCCAATCTGAACCTTTGCTTCTGGACTGTGGAAGATGGACGAATAATATTCGCTAAGGAAAGAAATCTACCTGGGTGAAAATGTGCACGCTCACACACACACATACACTGCGACACACTTGCTGACTAGATAACCGTCAACCCATCATCCTTTCATCCACCTCTCAGTAATATTTCCTTTCACCGACTTGTCTGACTTCCATTACCACGACCAGCTGACAGCCGAAACAACCCTCACACACGTGTAACTTTGCTGCCAGTGCTTTCCAACATGAATCTCTGGAAGCATTTCCCTGTCAGAGATAAATCCATGTTATGACTGATAATGACTTCCCTCTGCTGTGTGTACAGTATGTTTGCCTTGACGTGAATTAAATCGGCGGATGTCTGCGTCTTTTTGCTTACAGAGAACTGGCCTCGGTAAAATCCTTGATCAATAGATGAAGTGACTCAGGTAAACAGCTGCTGCGTCGCCGTCTGCGCGATTGTGCCTTGAGTGAGCATCGGGAAACGGATAAAAGAAAGGAGGTCAGGTAAAATTGTCATCGATTTATGGCTGGCGTCTGAGGAATGAAGAAGCCATTTATTATGAAAGCCCATTAGTAATGTATGCATATCTGTATGCCCGGGTGAGGGAAAGAAGAGAGAGAAAGAGGGCGGGGGGACAGAGCATCATCATTAATATGGCTCCTCCATTAGCCTGAGTGCTTCCGTGACAACATAATGGCCGTCACCCAGACAACAGGGTCACTCTAGTTATGAGCACACCCGGCAATCGCTGATGTCAATGTAGCAAAGTGGGAACTGAATTCCCACTTGGTTTGGGCAAATGCACCCCCACACACACTCACTCACACTCACTCAGCTTGGGCAGTTTAACTCTTTGGGATTTGAGAGGTTTTTGAACGAATCAATAATGAAAGAAGGGATGATGGGAAATGAAAGAAAGCTCGAACGAGAAGGACTGAAAGGAAACGTCGAGTGGCTGAAAATGGGAGAGGGTGAATGATGGAGAGCCGTCCCCCGAGAGACGTTTCCAAAGCAGCGCGGTTACAATCGAGTTATGCCGCACCATTTTCTCGAGAAGAATCTCCGAACTGATGGGCTTAGAAGTGCTGAAGATGTTTTCGTGATCTCGGATTACTGCCACTCTGGTAAAATGGATTCTTGGAAAACGACAGAAGATGGGGGCAGGGAAAGACAAACAGATCAAGAAACAAGACTAGACTGAAGTTTTTAAGAGAGTTGGCAAAGTGAAGCTTTGTTGCTGGGGTGGGGGACTTCCTGCCTGTGGGCTGTAAGAATATGATGGCGATTCATTTGTTTCTAGGATAAAAGAACATGTTCTTCTCGGGGGTCTCCCCCTTGGTTGTTTGCCCGTCATGTCAGAGTCAGAGTCATTTCAAAACACATGTAGCAGCCTTGTGTTATGGAAATTCTGTCTTTTGTGGATGTGAGCAGACGTGTATGTGACCAAACTGTTTATCTAAAAGGGCAACTTTAGATTCACGATTATCAGAATCACTTTTTATTGCCAAGTATGTGAACACACACGAGGAATTTCACAAAAGACAAAAACAAAAGCTATGTACATGTAAAAAAAAAGCTAAATAGTTTGGTGCAATGGTGCATAGTGCATGGATGAAATAATAAATACACAAATACAGTGTGCGCAGTATGTTGGTATGTACAGATATTTTACAGGTGATGTTACTGATATTTGAGTCTGGTTTTAGCTGTTCCACACAGAGACAGCCTGAGGGAAAAAACTGCGTATTAGCATGTGTGTTCAGGTGATGTGTACTGAAAGAAGTGTTTGACTTTGTGCTTGATTCACAGAAATTGCCACCAAAGTTATTGCTGACAAGTTTTGAGCTACTTGTTTTGTTTTTGTCAAATGCAATTTTCTTTTTTTTTTTCAAAACAAAGGTCTCGGTTCAGCTCAAGACCGACTGACTCACACCTGGAGAACCAGCCGCGAGTAGCATCATCATCACTATGACCTGACATCAGATGGCCTGCCGAAGAGAAGCAGTCCCAGCCGTCACATTAGAGAGGTTAGTCTAATATGCGTTCAATAATTTAGCGTGGCCCTCGAAGGCTGTTATAAAATTGAAATGGCCCTTAACAGGTAAAAAGTTAATGTAGTGTGTATGAGAGCAGATGTTCTGGACAAACAGTTAAGTAGAAAACTTGAACACAACTAAAATAAAACTTTGTGTAATATTCAAAGTAGAATTATTCTGTAAATCATTTGTAATAATCAGAGGAAAACGGAGCCTCGCTCCCTTGAAAACCTCTCATCCCACTGAGTGAAGATGAATTTAATCCATCTTCCTCAATTTAATCTTTTTCCTCTGACATTGCTTCAATTCGTGCTATTGATTCAGTTTTGTGTTTACTTCTCATGCAGGAAAATATCTGTCACTAATTAGAAAAAAAGGTCAGTTGTGTTGTTTTGTGGAGAAGTCGAGGCTGTTGACTTTGGCCCATTTGACTTTTCTTTGTGCAAGTGGACAATAATAATAAAATATTGATTTTTAAATATGTACCATCCCTAAATGTGTTTTTACCCACTCGCTCTCAGGAAGTCAATGTTGGTTTGTGAGTGCCTCCACCACAACAAATACTCGACGCAAAGAGTTTAGGGTCTTTAGAAAATCGACCTACCAACTTTGGTACCACGACCAAACTGATGCAAAGCTAATGACATTCCCATCAATCGTCCATGTTTATATTTTGGTGTCTGTGTGTATGAATCATTGTGAGAACCTGAAATAGAGAAAAGGAGTTTGAGTGTGTTTGTGTAACCGAGTGAGTGAACGTGTCTGCGCAGCAACACATCCACTGTGTGTTTGGGTGAATGTACAGAGGAGCAGGCAATAAAATCCATATTTCAAGAGATGCAGAGCTGCTGTAGACTTCTGCCTGCTGCTTTGAAGACCAACGCTAGAGGGGAGGGGTGGACGGTGTTGGGGTGGTGATGGTGGGGAAAGGGTTGGAAGCACAGGCCAAGGACTGGAGGGGTAAGAGATGGAGTGCGGAGTATGACACATTTAATCAACAGACAAGGAACAGAGAGGAGGGAAAAATCTGAACTGATAAGAGGTCGACCCTTTATCGGCCTGCGGCTGATTATCAGATTCAATATTCGGCATTTTTCTGATTAACAGAATCCAATTTCCAACAAAAGGAATAAGATTAAAAATGCTTCTGCTCTGATGCTGCCACCTCTGTCAGTCTGTAGCCACCTCTGTCAGTCTGTAGCCACCTCT